TCCAGTGAGCTCATGAGCCCTGTAGCAAAATTTTCTGGGGAAAAAATATCAAATTATTTCATGATTGTTCTACATACTAGACATGAAAATGGTTGTTTTAAGAATATTATGTATGTGTTTATATACATAATAAATACACATATACACACACATATTTAATCAAAACTAGGGCTAAGATTCTTTTCCACTAAAGACAAGCTGTACCTCCAGTGAGAATACTGTAACAGATCATGCCTTAAAATCTTGAAACAAACATCAAAAATATTTCAAGACATGGCAATGCCATTAGACTAAGTATATAACTTTTCATGAAAACAATTTTTTCTGAGTAAAATACTTAAATTTAAATGTTTTATAAATAATTTGAATAAATTTAAATAATTTTAATAAGCTTCTTTAAGAACTAATCAAAATACCATGTCTGGTAAATTAAAAAGGTCATCCTCTCCTCAATCCAAACTCTATAATGGCAGGGATTTTTCTTCCTCTAAATTTCAATCTGATGATCTTTATTTTTACACAGAATCCAGTTTACTTATGCCATTTAACATTTCATGTAATTTATTTTTTCTTTCAACTTTGTTTGCTAATCATGTCACTTAAGTACATATAGCTTTTTCCTCATTTTTTGCTAGTTTAATTAACTTTTTTTTTTTTAGAGAGAGGTTTGTGCTATAGGGCATGTGCACTTTCTGGAGGGACAGAGAGAGAAAGACAGAAAGTGAGAAATCACCCCCTAGGGGGATGGCCACACTGCAATCCCTTCTCCTCCATTCTTTCAAGATTTTATGCACAAACACATACGCCTGATGTGAGTTTTAAGCCACAGGATCTGGGACTTGAACCACAGTCGACTACGTGGGAGTCCAGTGACATAATCATTATACCCTTTACTGGTCTCTACTTAACATATCAATTCTCTCATTCCTTTCATTAATTTTGTAATTCTTGCCTATTTCTTTTTTTTTTATTCCATTAATGATTACCTTCTATTTAGTAGGTTCTTATGATTAAAACACTTTACTACTATAAAAACAAAGATAAACATTTCTCTTACCAAAATTAATGCACACTTTAAAACTTTTTAAAATACTTTTTAAAAGCAAAACAAAAACAAAGGACCACTCTGGCCATAAATCCTATGCTCTGATCAAAATAAGCCAGTTTCTATCCTTTTTGCAAAAGGGCACTCCCTTATTTAAAGACTCAATGAGTGTCATTTTCTCCACGGAGATTTCTAGACAGCTTCTTCTCTCTGGAAACCACACCTTCTTTCTCTTAATAGCCTTTCTGAGTAACTTGTCACATACTTAAACACATATCATGTTTTCACTCTAGGCCATATGTTTTTCAGTGCCTCAATCTTTCGGACTGATTTCATACTCTTCACTGTAAGTAAAAGAGTTTGGGCACACAGTCGGTGTGCTTACAGTTCTGGTGAAGGCTAAGGTCACTTTACAGAAAAGTTGAGCATTCTGTGGTTCCATGGCATCCAAAGCATTTCTGAGGAGTTCTAGCTTGGAGGTGGCCTAAAACATAAGTAATCAGTATTAATTTTAAAACTTAATAAGAAAAAATAACAATACACACACATATATACTGTGACAAATATTTAAAAAGACCTTTACTTTCAAAGGTCTTCTTCCTTTCCTGACACTGGAAACTTCTAAGTTGTAAGATACATTTTTAAAAAAAATTCTTTTTTTAAAAACCTCTCAATAAAAAACTCTTTTTTTTTTAGTTTTCTTTTTTTTTTTTTAATTTAACTGTATTTATTTATTTATTTTAATTTGACCAGATAGGAACAGAGCAAGAGTGAAAGCGAGAGAGAAGGTGAGAAAACAAGCCACCAGGTCCAGGACTTGAACCATGTCGGCCATGTGGGAGTCCAGCACCCTTAACCACCATGCCACCTGCCAGCCCCATGATATATTAAACATTCTTATAAGGGCTAGTAGGTGGTATGGTGGTTAAGGCCCAGGATTCTCACAGAGCCAACAACATTTCAAGTCCTAGGCCTGGTGGCCTGCTTTTTCTCTCTCCCTTTTCCTCATTTTCTTTCTCTGGTGAGTGCACATGCTCTATAGCAAATTGAAAAATAATAAATAAAATGAAATAAATAATTCTTTAAACAAATTTTATAAAAGGCTCAACAATTATAAAGAATTCTTAAGTTTTAGAATATGTTTCTTTAATATACGTTATTGATGGAAACCATTGGGTAGGAAAAAAATAACTGTGATATTCAATTTACTGTACATGCTAAGCTCCTGGTAATAATTAACCCATGATACAAATGGGATATGAATGATAACATACTTACAAATGATATGAGATCAGCACTTGAACTACCTTTGTAGACTGGTTTATATTTTAAATGCTTTCTTGAATAGGAAAATAATCAAAGCATTTAGTATATGCAACTCCAATGCTTTGAAAGTTTAATGAAGATTTGCCCCTACTAAGTCTCCTAGTATTTATTGAAGCACTTATTTGGCACAATCACATTAATCAATTTAAGTATGCTAAACACAATGTTAGTCCACTCCTGGTTATACTTTTTGTGTCAGACTGGCTTTTGTCAATCCACAGTCCAGTATAAAGCTATTGTGTTCACTACTGCAGAAACAGAAGTATTAATAAATTGTAAGAACAACTGAATTTCATTCTAAGCCTATTCAACCTACAAAAATTACCAAATTATAAAAATACTATCAATTATATTTTACATTGGCACTTTTTCATATCTAGAATTACTGGTTATCTTAATCATATATATTATATAATACAGAGATTTTGCATAGAAAACCACATATACTGTAGCAAATGATTTAAGGATTTTCCAGAGTTAATTTTAACAATAATTTTTTTATTTACTAGTTGATTTAAGAAGCTAATCTCTTTGTTCAGGTGTTTTCTAGCCATCAACTGAAACTGTCAGGACATGCATTATAAAAGACTTCAAGACTGCAATGTATGTGCATGTGCATGCATATGTGTGTAACAAAATACATTTTTAACACTGTCAACCTAAATACTACAACACCACTTACCTTCTCTATATCCCCCTCTCTACACAAATAGTAAAGAGCCAGCATTCTTAGTGCTTCGACATTTTGATGATCCTGGAGCAGTAACCTGCAGAAAACATTTCAATTAGTGTCAAAATACACTTACATGTTTTCTTTTACTAAAGGATTTGAAAAATTGGCTTGCTGGTCCAATTTACATTATGAAAATTATCAACTTTATTATTTAAATTTTTAAAAATGTCTCTGGAATTTCCTTTCTAATATGTTTTCACAGATGTGAATAAACTGTAACAGTCTCATTAAATCCCATGGCAATCCTAAATAAAGTATTAACTAAACATACAGAATAGTTGATTAAAAGAATAATTCATCTTTGCCAGGCTGATTTACTATAAAAATTCTAGGAATGCAAAGATAGGTCAAATATTTTTAAAAATTTAATTATGTTATTTACAACATTTTGGTTTTTATCTGATAAAAACAAATTAGAAAATACTACAGAAAAATATTCTATTAACAATAAAAATTGAAACTAAAAAAGAAAGTGAAACACAAAATAAGAAATGTACAAAAGCTATAAAAATTCCTATTCAACTTTACATCTTAAAAATGAACTGAATAAAAAGGTAACACACTAGGCTTTTTATCTTGGATGATGTGATACAATGAATTATCGGTCCCTGAATCTGTGCATTCTGCAATGTAATTAAATAGTTCCCTCTACAATAGCCAGAGTGTACTTCACTACTCCTTGACTGGGGACTTGAACAATTTTCCTGGATTGTCAGTGGGATGTAGCCGGAGTAACGGGGTGCAAAGCCTAGATTTCAGAGGCACTGCTTATTTTTGCCCATCATCTTGCATTTCTTCTATGCCCATGAGAAGAGATTTCTCTGGGTAGCCGCTGCTTTTTGGCTTGAGCCCACGGAAAAATGCTCTTGGACAAGAGCAGAGCCCCAACTCCAGTGAGGTGCCACCCCATCCAGGTGAATCTGAAAGTTGAAGCAGAGCTCTAGCTAACTCTGGCTGAAATCAGTAACTCCTAGAAGACCCACACAAATGTAAGGAATCAATATTTTATCATAAGCCCTGAGATTTGTGGTTGTTTGTTATACACCAATAGCTGCCTGCTATAGTAATGCTCAGTTTTGTCAAAAAAATTTTCCCAAATAACCTATAGATTTGATGCAATTCAAACCAAAATTTTCTAAGATTTCTTTTTTAACTTGTAATTCTGACAATCAATGACAAACAAACAAACAAACAAATAAAAACGAGCTAATACACCTATCAAGAAAGAAACAATATGATGGAGAATATACCCCGAGATAATAAAATCCATTAGAAATTTTTAAAAAAATACGGCTATAAAAAAAAAAAAAAACATGTCTAGGGACAGCAGATGATGTAATGGTTATGTTGCTGGACTCCCACATGGCCAACTGTAGTTTGAGTCCGGGATCCAATGGCTTGAAACTCATGCCGGGTGCATGTGTGTGCATGCCCAAAATCCAGAGAGGAGAATGGAGAAGAAGGATGTTGTGGCGAGGCCATCCCCCTGGGTGGGTGGGGGGGTGATTTCTCACTTTCTGTCTCTCTTTCTGTCCAGTGAGCATGTGATGTCTGCTATAGCAAAAATCTCTGTCTTAAAAAAAAAGAAAAAGTCTAGGTAGGTCCAGATAGTGTACAGAAGAAAAATAATCGCTTCTAGTCTATTAAAATATGCTCAATTTCAACAGAATTTAAAAAAAAAGGAAAATAAAAATAAGCTACCTTTCTTAATCTATTGGATTAGTAAAAAAAACAAAAATGAACACAGAACTGGTGAGGACAGAAGGAGCAGCCATTCAATTGACTTGGGCAGGAATCCAAACCAGTATAATGTACTAGGAGAGTAACATCGCACGATTTCAAGTGCAGCGATTAATCTGTATCTTCAGTTCTATTCTCTTATTTGCTCTTATTGGCTAGGTGGTTAGACAACAGTTCCCAGGCGTCTTTGCAGTTAGAGTGGCCACTGTGAGAAACACTGCAGTATACCATTATCTCGACATTCTCTCTACTTCTACTAGTGGAATACCCATGCCAAAAGGTCTGAGGCGATGGCGGAAGTGAGAGATTGGAAGAGATCAGGTTCCTTAATAACAATGGGGAAGAAAAATGCTCAAACACTCATCTAAAACAGTTGCATGCGGGAAAAGAAACTGTATCATGTTGAACCATTATATGTTTAGGTGGAATATTGGCTTAGCCCACCCTAATAAGTACAATTATCTTTGATTTAGTAATCCCCCATTTGAAAAAAAAAAAACCTTTAAAGATAAATAAATGTATACATATAAATAATATATTTATCCACAGACACACATACAAATATATGTACATGTATGTATATATGTATGTGCACATATACACATATATGCATATACATACAGAGACATATAAATATATGTAAATATACATATGTGTGTTTCTATACAATTCAGATTATTGCACGGCTCTTCTCAAAACCCTCCAATGACTTCACACTTCAGAAGAAAAACCAAAATCTTCACAATGGTCAAGAAGATCTCCACACCCTGGTACCCACTCCCTCCTACCCTTCATCCCTGACTTCACTGCCTTCTCATTGCTCTTCGTCTTTTTCACTCCTTAAACTTTTATGACGTGAGCTTCTGCCTGAGGGTCTTTACACCTGCTTTTCCTTCTTTCTGAAGTCTTCTCCGGATTCCTTCATGGCTTACTCTTACTTGTTCAGGTCTTTTTCAAATGCTGCGTTCTCAAGGAGGCCTTTCCTGACCACCCCATTAAATTGAACCCTCGACACTCCCTGTTTCACTTTCCTATTTTTTCTTTATAGATCTTATAACTTTCTAACTTCCTGTATCATTTATTTATTTGTTCTGCTTAACATAAGCTTGAACATAAGCTCACTTGAACATAAGCCTCTTCAGTACAGCGATATTTATTTGTCAAAAATAATGTCTGTCTTAGAACAGTTATTCAAATATACATGTATCAATAAATTCAGCTTTTAAAGCGAAATAATTTTAAATGTTTCCTCAAGTCTAAACAGTTTGGGAAAATAAAAAAATAAATAAAACTTACAAATACTTTTTCTCTCAAGATAATAACCAGATCATGGGAATAAGCAGTTAGCGTAATGGCTATGTCGCTGGACTCCCACGTAGTCGACCACGGTTCGCCTTCCGAACCCAGTGGCTTAAAACTCACGCCGGGCGCGTGTGCATGCGTGCCCAAGATCCCAAGAGGAGAATGGAGGAGAAGGGATTGTGGCGTGACCATCCCCCCTGGGGGGTGATTTCTCGCTTTCTGTCTCTATGTCTCTCTCTGTCTGTCTGGCGAGCGCACACGCCCTGTAGCAAAAACCTCTCCAATAAAAAAAAAAAAAAGATAATAACTAAATCCAAAGAGATTTATGTTATCTTTTTCTTTACTTAACCTTTGTGCTGTCTCAACTGTCTGGTCCCAATCTTGCAAGGCCAGTTGTAATTTCATTTTCTTTACAAAAGCAGGAAGAAAGCTTGGAAAGTTTACAATAATTTGGTTCACAGTATCCAGGGCAGCTGAATAATTTTGACGCATCTCAAGACATTGTGCCTAATGGGTGGAAAAAAAGTAAGATTGAAATTCTGATCTTACATAGAGAGGTTCTCAACCCAGAATAGGAAGAATTCCAGTGTTAATATTTTCTGACATTTCTAAAAAAAGCAGTTATCACTTTAATAATGAGATTAAAAACAAGATCTTCTTTAACTTTTTTTGGAGGTGTTTTTGCTATATAGTGCATGTACTTGCCAGAAAGACAGAGAGACAGAGAGTCAGAAAGTTAGAAATCACCCCTCAAGGGGATGGCCATGCAGCAATCCCTTCTCATCTAGTCTCCTCTCAGAATCTTGGGCATACACATACACACGCCCAGCATGAGTTTAAGCCACCGGTCCAGGACTCGAACCATGGTTGACTGCAGGGGAGTCCAGTGACATAGCCATTACACCAACTGCTGGTCCCAGATTTTTTAAAAATCAAAACAGCATTTTTAAATATCACAGAACAGTACAAATAATTTATAAAAGTGACTTAGTTTTAACATCCACTTTTAGGCCTAGCCCTGTAAAGCAGTGGTTAACTGCCATGCATTGAAAGCCAGATTCCCATATGGCCAACGGCAGTTTGAATCCTGGTCCCACCCAGCAGCTTGAAAAACATGCAGGGAGCATATACCTTAGTGCTCAAATCCTGACAACAGAGAAATAAGTATTGTAGTGTGACCACACCCCACTGTGAGGTTGCTTTCTCTTTGAAGATTGCACACGCTCTGGCAATTTTTAAAAAGTCTACATTCGAGTATCTGAAGTATGGGGCCAGCAGGTGGCATGGTAGTTAAAACACTGGACTCCTACATGGCCGACCACGGTTTGAGTCCTGGAAATGGTGGCTTGAAAATCACACTAGGCCTGTGTGCATGTGTGTCCAAAATTCTAGGAAGAGAATGAAGAAGAGATTGCAGCATGACCATCCCTCTTGATTTCTCACTTTCTCTCCCATCGTCACTCTCAGATAAGCACATATGCCCTAAAGTGAAAACAACAACAAAAACCCCCCTAAAGTATGATTAAAGGATAAAACATTTAAAAGATATTTTTAGAAAGGCTGTAAAATATAGAATGCTTCTATTTAGAATATTAAAAATTACCATTTCAGGATAAAGTATTTCCAAGATATTTTCAAGTAGCATCTAACAAGTAGAAAATGTTAGAGATTTCATGTTTTCTTAAAAATCACTTTCAGATTGGGCGAGCATGTGGTGTGGTGGTTAAAGCACCGGACTCCCATAAGGCCAGCTGTGTTTGAGTCCCAGACTGGGAAGCTTGAAATTCATGCTGGGCGCATGTGCATGCATGTGTGTCGAAAGTCCCAAGAGGAGAATAGAAAAGAAATTTTGGCATGGCTATCTCCCTAGGGTAATGATTTCTCATATTTCCTCTCTCTGTCTTTCTTTTTCTGTACAGTGAGTGCATGCTCTATGACCAAAAAAGAAAAAAAAATTACTTTCATATTAAAGAGGATTTATTTATTTATTTTTGCTACAGGGTGCATGTGCTTGCTAAAGAAAGAGAAAGTGAGGAATCACACTCTGAGGGAAATTCCTTGCCAAAATCCCTTTTCCTCCAGTGTCTTCTTGGGATTTTGGCCCACAAGCAGATGCACCTGTGATTTTCAACCCTCCAGGTCTGGGACTCGAACTGTCCAGCTAGCCATAAGGGATCTAGTGCCTTAACCTTCACGCCACCTGCTGGCCCTAAAGAGGATACAATTTTAAAATACAAGCAAAGGGCAAACAACTTCCTCTACTTCAACATTTCCACTTCTAGCAATTCTCTTAGGAAATCATTAGCGATCGCAAAGAGTTTGTGAATGATATTTATGGCAGAATTGTTTGTTTATGATACAAAACAACCCCAAATGTCTATGAAGTAGTTAAATTACAGCACATCTATTTAATAAAATTTTAGGTAGTCATTAACATGTTTATATTATGTTTATGTAACATGCTTATGTATATGTGGATCTACACTTAGAAATATGATTATATGTGACACCATATGTAATCATCCAACAGGTTATTTCTAGTAGCGATACTCGATTTCTCATTCAGAAGTTTTTATTTTTATTTTCTGAAAAATTTTTACAATGTCCTTGTATTACTTTCTTAGTCAAACATAAAAGCTATGAAGAGTGAGTACATTAATAACAGATAATGAGGCACTTTTATCACTTATCACTTTTTAAAAATTTGCTTCTGGACTGCTTTTAGGAATAAATTTAGTCCTGGTATGTCTCAGTTAAAAATGAACACTGGGTCTTAATATAGCAGGTACTGCAAAGTGACAATATCGTACTACAAAGGTTTTAGGTGTGTCCTATCCCAATACTCTTACTTAGACCATCACCTTCTATGAGAATGTGACGTATATTAAACTAAACTAACTTTGCTGTGTATTTGGTTCACATGATTACTAGGCAGAATTAGATTAATGTAACTCTTCGGCTGAATTTACTGGAAAATAAATAATTGACTGGAATGGGTCTGCTAAGGTTCGATTATTTTTGTCCCCTCCAAAACTCATATTGAAACTTAATCAAATGGTGTTGAGAGGTAGGGAATAATGGGAGGTGTTTGGCACATGAGGGCTCTGCCCTTATGAATGAATTAATGCCACTATAAAAGGACTTGTGGAAATGGGCTTCTTCTCTTCTGCTCTGCTGCCACTATTCCTCCTATTTAACAACGCAGCATTCAAGGTTCCATCTTACAAGCAGACAGTGCTCTTACCAAACCTGCCCTGCACATTAATCTTGAATTTCCCAGTCTCCTGAGAAATAAATTTCTGACTTTTATAAACTAACCAGGTGTAGGGCCAAGCAAGTTTCATGGTGGTTAAAGTGGCTGGATCCCACAAGGACAACTGTGAGATTTAGAGTCCTGGACTCAGGAGTTAATAAAACACACAAGGCACAGTGTATGTGTGCCCAAAATCCCAAGTAGAGAATGGAGAAGGTCATCCACCTGGGGGTACTTTTTCTCTTTCTTTCTGTCTTCGGCAAGCACATGCACCTTACAGCAAATTAAAACACAAACATAAATAAATAAATAACCCAGTCTAAGGTTCTCTATCATAGCAGCACAAAATGGACTATATCAGAGTAAGAATTTAAACTAATCTTGATCATTAGAGGAAAAAGATAAATCTCTCCTAGTTTCCTACCCTCCTCATTAGCCCTACCTATGGGATTCTCAATTCACTTCGCTTTAAGAAATAGAGGAAAAAGTCTACATTAAACTTTACTTTTTCTGACACCTTACTGAAAACTGCAAGTTCATTTCCCAGCTCTCCTTCTCACACTTATCCTGTTTCATTTATTTTTCCATTGCATTTATCACCTTCTAATATATGACAGGACTTCAACAACTGCACAGAAAAACTGAATTAAATTTAAAAATTGAATTATTTTGCTCAGGGTATCTCGAGTATCTTAAGTGATGCCTCACTTATATCAGACACACAAAAAGTGTTTGTTGAAGAAAGAATGAGTGAACTAACAACAAGAATAAAACTGACCCAGGATTCTGAAACTTCGGTAGGAAATACAGTTTTCTAGTTTACTCTTCATCCTCTTACCCAAATGCAATTCCCTCTTTCAATTGAGAGCTGACAACAGTATCATGAAAAGTATCATCTTTTGAGCTTCTTGGTTTCGGGCAGTTTCAAATATATTATGACTAAATTCTGAAATTTGCCATATTTATCCTAAATCCAACTCACCTTACCCAGAAGAGCAAAAATATCATTTCCATCTTGCAATCCTTCTTCAAAGTACCTTAGTGCCTTTTTAGTGTAAGATGATTCTTTCCCTCTTGTAATATCAAGCCATGCTCTCAAAACCTGTCCCTGTAAAATAAATAACTCTAATTCATGTGAAGGTTTTTCAAAGGCATCCAAACAATGTTAACAAAAGAGGCAAGTCCAATGACATTTTTTGGCAATTATTGACATAAAAGACTTTATCAAATAATGTTATGAACAATAAAATTCTATGCAATGAAAGACTTTGGAGCTCTTGCTAGCCTAAGTCTTGGAAACTACACAATGAATTTTAGTCTTGGAGCAGGCAGCAGATGGTGTAGCAGTTACGCTGCTGGAATCCACACGGCTATCTGAGGTTTGAGTCCTGGACCCGGTGGCCTTATACTAATGCTGGGTGTATGTGCATGTGTGCCCAAGATCCCAGGAGGAGTATGGAAGAGAAGGAATTGTGGTGTGGCCATCTCCCCTGAAGTGTGTGTGTGGGGGGGATTTCTCACTTTCCCTCTCACTGTCTCTGTCTCTCTCTCTCTCAGCAAGTGGACATGTCCTAAGTCAAAAACTCCTTAAAAAAAAAAAAGATTACTGATGGGTTCAATATTAAGAAGCTTATAAAATATTTCATTAGTGCTAAAGACAACATTCTCCTCTGAGATTTTGCTTGTAAATTATTATTAATAATTGTTAAACATGTAATTCAACATTGAAAGAAAAATGTGTTGTCTCTTTCTAGGCAAACAGTCCAAATGAATTAAGATATAAAAATAAGACATGCTGCTTCACATGTATTAAAGATTCAGATAATTTGGCAACCATCTATAATTAGTCTACTGAATTTCAAATGAAAGGATAAATGGTCTGAGAAATTAAAAAAAAAAAAAAGAAGCCATGGATGTTTATTTTACAAATATTAGTAGGGCCAATGTGTTGTAAGATATGTAAGGTTGGAAATACGATGAAAATAATACTTTCCTCTCTTTTTTTTAAAGTCCCCCCCCCCTCCTTAGGGCACATGCACTTAATGGAGACAGACAGAAAAGGAGAGAGGGTAAGTGAGAAATCACCCTCCATGGGAATGATTATACCACAGTCCTTTCTCCTTTGGTCGCCTCTCTGGATTTTGGGCTTGCACACACTTCAAGAGTGCTTTAATGGGACTCAAACTGTGGTTGACCATGTGGGAATCCAACACCTTAACCATGACACCAGCTGCTGGCCCCCGTTATTTTCCTCTTTAAGCTCAAATAAAAAAAAATGTGAAATGTGCTCTCCTATTAAACAAATTTGTAATATAATTCTTAAGTTTATAAACTTTTGACCAAGATTATATTTCACTCACTGTGTTTCACCTGAAAATACTGATAAAAATCTTAACAAATGCTACTTTAGCTCATTGGATCAGTATCACTATTTGAATGACTTTAACAACTGTCTCTGTGTGGCTGACTCCCAACCTGTATCTCTAGTCCAAAACCTCTTCTAAAGCTTTTCCTCATGTTTTTCAAAAGCTCATCTGTAGGGCCAGCAGGTGACATGGCTGACCTTGGTTCGAGTCCTGGAACTGGTGGTGGCTTGCTTTCTCACTTTCTCTCTGCTCTGTTCTTCTCTGGTCAAATTAAATGAATAAATAAAGTTAAATAAAATAACTATTTCTTTTTTTTTAAAGAAAGCTCATCTGCTAGCTCCATCTTCCTATTCTGCTAGCACCTGGAATATAATATGTCTCAAAACAAATACGTCAACTCTCTCTAAGACAAGCTTATCATCCTAATTTATTTTCTATTCATGTTAACTGGTTTTTGAATTATCCAGGCTTAAAACCTTGGAGACATCTCAGATACGTGACATCTCATTAATTTCCTTTACTACTTATTTTCTATTAGCAAGTCTTTTGATATTTAAAAAATTTCAACTTTGTACTCACTGTGGAATATTTTAGTGTAGTCCTTCAAGTCCTTCTGCTGGTAAATACAACCTGCCCACCATCCCCTAATACTCTAATTTCTACCCAGCCAGTTAATCCTACAATCCAGTGTTAAAAGTAATCTTCTGGATTTGCACTTTACTACTACCATATTAGTGATTTAAAAAATTGTCAATAGCCAGTCACATTAGATACAAGTAACTGTACCTCACAGTTAAGATCTATTTGTCCCATTGGATCTCTCTAAGCTTCTCTACCACCCTTTCATCTGTGTATACTATGTTCCCATCAAATGTGAGGATCTTGCTGTCCCCAGAATCAACATGCCTCACTTTTATCTATTGTCTCTTATATGGGAATATCTACTTCTCTTTTCCATTAATCTTCATGTGTTGAAACTACATCCCATCTTGCAGGTTTTGGCTCAAATGCTAATTCCTTCAAAAATTTCTTTCTCATTTTTCTAACACTTACAGACATGATCTCTCCTTAACTTAAAATAGTGCTTAATAAATTACTGCATTGTTGGAAAGGTCCTGACACATTTTTCTATGCAAAAAACAGAACTTTTCTGACAGCCCAATAAATAAGTAACAACTGTTAACTATTACTTTTCCCATGCTTTAATGACATTCTTATACCATTTATGATTATTCTCACACTATTAGTTTAGTATCTATTTTATGACACTTCTAGGTAATTAACTCATAAAAGTAAAGTTCATAAATTCCTTATCTTTGTGTTATCAATAATAGAAATAATAGTATCTTATATACAGAACTATTGAATTAGGAAAACAAGAGGGAATGAAGGAAATAAATAAGGAGGAAAAGAAGGAAGAGGAAGAAGGAAAATAAAAGGAGAGAAGGAACCAGCACCTTTTCATGAGTTGGTAGCAACAAAAACAAATAAACAAACAAACAAAAAACTTAGAGAATTCCTATTTCTTAATAACAACAAATATTAAAATAAAGCTGTTATTCATAAAGTAGGAACAGAATGGACAATAAGAAACAACTAAACAAGTACCACTGAATACATAAATAACATAAGCTTCTCAGTGTTATTATTTCCAAATAAGACAAAGACTTACCTCTTTATTACCCTCTGATATTTTTATCACTCTGTCAACATATTCTCTTGCCTTATCGTGGCGACCAATGTGCCATAAAAACAAGCCTGCATGATATAAGGCTTTCAGACCAGCTCCTTTACGCTGCTCCTTCATTCGGGCATCTGATTCCAGAATAGCTTCTCTATCTGGGAGAAGGAAATGGTATTAAATTAAAATCAAATATACATCAAGTGTTTCTAATAGGTCAGATTAACAGGGCACAGAATTTAGTTGTTCTTTCTATAGGAACGCCATCTAATAGAAATAAAATGCAAGCTATATATGGATTCTAAAATTTTCTAGTAAGCCCCATCAAATAAATGAAAAGAAACAAAAAATTATTTTTAATAATGTATTTATAGCTCAATATATTTAAAATATCATTTAAATGCATAATTGATGCAAAATTGATAAGATACTCTGCATTCTTTGTTAATAAATAATTGAAATGTGGTACATACTTTACATTTATAGCACGTCTCAATGAAGATGCTACCTTTTCTTCAGATATAATTGTTTTGTACTTAGGTTTCATAAAATTTATAGTTGAAAGCAGATTTATAAACTCAAATTGTTTCAAATATAAATTTTCTAATAACTGAATCATGGACTAGTTTAAATTTAAAATGTAAACTAATTAGAATTGAAAAAACTTAAAATGCAGTTCCTCAGTCAAACTAACCACATTTCAACTACTCAAAAGCCACATGAAGTTAATGATCACTGTAATGCATAGTAGAGGCAGATAGCTTGAGTCCTTCTCAATATGGATGCTAGTGTTTGCTCATAAAGTTCATAAACATCTCTAGTGGATTCTAAAATAATACAATTATGAGGGGCAGGTCCAAAGCTAGTACTCAAATTACCTGTCAAATCAAATTCCAGATGAAACAATTCAGATTATCGTCACAGGCCAGTGAAAATGTATTAATAGTTTAATTATTACTTATTAATACATACTTTAATAATTAGCATTCAACTGCCCCCTTAAATAGATGGCTTCTTGCTATGGGTTGCTGCAAAAAAAAGTGCAGTTTGGGACTATGAATTTTAAGTTATTATAAATAGCTTTAAATATATCTTTATTAATGCACATGGGAACCATTCCAACGAATATTTTGCCAATGAAAAATAAGTTTGTTTATTCCTATACTGTAAAAATCTGTGCTTTGGGATTCGATGGACTCTTGGAAAGCATCTTCTGCATTCTGCTGGCTGTGGGACATTTTTCCTACAAAAAGTTGTCAACATGCTTGAAGAAGTGGCAGGTGGCTGGCAACAGGTCAGGTGAACATGGAGAATGAGTAAAACTTTGTAGTCTGATTCATTCAACTTATTTTTTCTTTAATAAAAATATTTTCTATTTTATTTACAAATTAATTTCATAAACAAACTGTAATAAACATGACCAAATAACAAAGAAAGTTCTTGACCATCTTTTATGGGCAACAAAATAAATTATTTCGATAGCTATGAAATCTTTTTCTTGCTTTCACAGTAATGTATTGCTTACAAATACTTTTACTGTCTTTAATGAACATTTTAAGAGTAGTGTTCTAGTTTTACACAAAATTATAAACAGTCTTGTAAAAACCTATTTTAGAGTAACTTTCTACTAACAGAAATTGAGCCCATAAAATATAAAAATTTTATAAATCATGTAATCCAAGTAATTAAACTTAATTATAATTATTCTATGGAAATTTATAGTACAAATCTGTCAGTTACCCACAATTAGGTACAACAATTATTTATGAAGAAAAATGTTACGATGGTCATTGTAAGATTTATTCCATATCTGAAAGGTAGCCTTGTTCCCAATAAATAATTCTTCTACTGTTTTTGTATACTTCTGGGGGAACAGATTCTGAATCCAAACAGAAATAATATCCAGTTATTTGACTTTCTGTTTCTTTCTTCTTGAAACCATTCTGTTTTATTTTTATAGATTTAATCAGCATTGACAAGGCAGGATTAATGGACTTCTTTTGTGATTCTTTCTGAATCTCACTTTCTTTTTTCTTTATTGCCAGAGGACGTTCTTGCTCTTTCTGTTCTCTTTTCCAAGATATCACCTCAAGAATTTTTGCCATAGCTTTTGTCTTCTTGAAATTGGGATCTGAGGGATCCAAATTGAACAAGTAGAAAGTATACATTGCCTGAAACCGTGCATCATTAACATTTACTCAAAGTCATCTTCCGAGGGAACCAGCAGTTAGCGTAATGGCTATGTCGCTGGACTCCCACGTAGTCGACTGCAGTTCGCGTCCCGGGCCCGGTGGCTTAAAACTCACGCCGGGTGCGTGTGCATGCGTGCCCAAGATCCCGAGAGGAGGATGGAGGAGAAGGGATTGCGGCGTGACCATCCCCCCTGGGGGGTGATTTCTCGCTTTCTGTCTCTCTCTCTCTCTCTGTCTGTCTGGCGAGCACACACGCCTTATAGCGAAAATCTCTCCAAAAAAAAGTCATCTTCAGATAATTCCTTCTTTTTCACAAGCTGCTTTTTCTTCAGTTTCAGTTTCTATTTCAGTTTCTTCTCCTGAAGCTATTTCATCATTTACATGTTTTATTGATTTTCTCTTTATACCTATTTTTTTAACTTCCTTTTTTTTTTTTTGAGAGGTTTTTCCTATATAGGGTAGGTCCCGTTACCCAAAAAACAGACA